CTTGCTCCTTAGTCTATCTGCTGTCTTTAACTCTTCCATTTGCAATACTTTTGCGGAAAAAAAATTACTCTCTGCAGTAAGTTTTGGGGTGGAAACACTTGTGATGGTAGTAGGCACCTTGGGAGCATAGGACTTGGCGCTTGCAATGACTTCAGGTTGCAGGCTTAGGTGTGCTACTATATGGGTGTTGCAAAAAGGGAGGGAAATGCATTTCTGGGCATTTCTTAAAAATTTATGCCTGTTATCCTTGCATCCTAGTAAATATTCTTGCATATTTAATGGTTTAAGATACAACTGAAGATATACGGATTTTTTTTCCAGTTTACACACTTCCTTTACCCACATTCAGAAAACTTGATAGCTTCCACACCTCCTTTTACTGCATAGGAAATTTTACTCTCTTTACTTAGGGGAAGCTGTATACATCCTTTATTCATCTGCATGCAGTGATTCATAGCTGCTGCTGTGTTTCTTAATAGCTTATTGCAAGTCATTTTATGAAATCATCAGTAGCAAATGCTTAACAGATATTAGAAGAAGAAACAAGGAAGCTTTTTATACCTGGGCATGTGTGTAATACACAGAGAGCAAGAGCTGCCTGTGCATGTTATATTTGGCAAGAGACTGAATGAGAAGGACAGATAGCCAGTGGGATTTCAGATGGGCACTGGTAGATGTTGACATGACCTTAAAGCCTGTCAGGTTCTTATGTGGGAACCCAGCTTCAGGAAATGGAGCATATGATGACAGGTTTTTAAGGGGTGGCTGAAAAGTTACAGCTGTTTAATGGGTGTCTACTGGGAGACTGAATAGACCTGCGTTGTTTTTTACCTGTGTTGTGGAGAGAGGGAGACTTAACTTGGAGTAGTTAAAGAGTGGAAGGTCATTATTTAGATGTTAAGTGTCCTTTAGTGATAGATCAGGTGTACACCTCATCACCATTTGGTGTCGGGTCTTGCTGCTCAGTGGTCAGCTAGCAGCTATGTTGAGCATATGTGTTCATGAGTGCAATTGTTTTGTCCTGGATGTAGACCACATGCAGACCATCTACTAATATTTAATATAGGCATAGTTATGACTCCATCTGTCCATGGCTGACCTAAAACACTCATTACTGTTTTGAAATTAGATACAATAGTAGTCACCTCACTGCTTCTAATGTGTGGTGGTTCAGTGTCTGAGCACATCCTTCTGGGTGTGACCACGCCTTGGTGAAGGCAAAAGTTAAGACAGGTTTTGGGCCTTTGAATTCCAACTTACCAACTCTTTCTTGAAGTACCTTCACACTGCAAAAGAAAAACCACTTGTGTTCCATGAAGTCATGCTTTTTGTCTTCAGGGTAGAATTTGTGGGTTTTTAAACCGATGGTGAGGCTCAATCTGGCTTACCTGAGCAACCACTTTTGTGCCTGAGCTAAACTGCTACCTCTGCTTACAATGGAGTGCAGGAATCTCTGTTGAGCTAGAAGATGGGCAGCTAGTGGAACCTTAGTCCTTGCCTGTAAACAACTTTGTATTTAGGGGGGAAATTTTCCAAAGTACCTAAGTGATTTAGGATCCAAAATCTCAATTTCAGTTATTTTCAGGCTCTGGAGTGAGAGAAACATTTTTCAAAGTGTGATTCTGTCTTGCTTTTTACAATGCCATCTCCCACAAAGACGCCCTCTTTTCTTACTTATCTTGTTACTCTTTTCCAGGTTGGCCTTCCTTCTATGATGTGATCAGTCCTGATGCAATTACTTTCAACGATGATTTCTCCTACGGGATGCATCGGATTGAAATATCCTGCAGTCAGGTTAGTTTATAGCACACACAGACCATTCCGATGGCAAAGGCTGCAAAAATCATTACAGCATGCTGTACTTTCCCTAAGATTTGCAAACCTTTCAGTTCCATTAAATAATAATCATTGTGAGAGAGCACAATGGGCTGTAGGTATAACAGCTGGGTGGAACGAGCTGAAGGCACAAAGGGCTCGTTGGAATGCACATCGTTGTCTCGTGTGAGATTTAACAGAGCAGATGTAAATGGTTGGACTCGGTGCTGAGTCTACAAAAATTGTCTTCCTGAAGAGGGTCCCTTCAAAGGATCTCCTGAGCCTCTGAGCCTGGCCGACTGACTCCACACGTGAGCAGCTGAGAGGGAAGTTGAAAGCAGTGGAGCGACTGTCTGTGTGCTGATTCCATCACTGTGCATTACTGTGCAGCCGTGCTAACTCATTCCCAACATTCATTCCCAGCGCAGTCCTAACGGCTGCCTCAAACAATCCCATCTGCCGTAATAATGAAGCCAGTAGTCATTCAAAACATGCCCAAATTTTCCGTTATCTGTCTTGTTCTACTTTCTCTCATCCTTTGTGCTGCCCTCCTCTCTGTGAAGGGAATGGCATAATCATTACCTAGCAAAGGGAGAAGCTGCTGCATTGGCATTCAGCAGATGTACCCAGCAGCTTGCAGTTCTCTAGGTCCATGGGCTCAAACTCCTCCTGAGAGAAGGAGCATCTTCATTTGGGCAGTGGTAATTTGCTGTTCTCTTTCCAGACAGTATTGGTGGAGGGATAACTGATATAATCCCTGATGATATGCATCCTTACTAGTCAGTCAGTCCTCATATATAAATGTTCAGAGTGAGTTATGAAGCTTCTCAAAAAGAGGCAAGATTGTCTTTATGGACAATCCATTAACTTCAGTCTGGGTAGAGGGTTTGGCCCAACATGTTAATGGCCAAATCAGTGTGTCTGCTAGTATGTCATGGGTACTACAAATTCTGTAGCTTTTACATTGATTATATGCTTTAGAAGATCCATTTAACACTTTTTGGGAACATCCATTTCCCTAAGTTCCCTAGCAATAGAACTGCAGACTGAGAATCTCGTGCTTCACCAGTGATTACTGACATAATCAAAAATGCAACCCACTCTCTTCAGCTCTGCTTAGTAGGTCTGAACAGTGCTAAAATCAGCGCACTGCCAACCTGCTGAGCCTGTATTTGCTGACACCCTTCAAGAGATAGCCAGAGCTCCTGGTTTCACCTGAGAGAAGCCCAAGGCAGCCTGTGGTCAGGCCAAGGAGTCTGGGAATGTCGTTTACCTGTTGCCAAACAAAATAGCATTAGCAGACCTGAGACTAGCAGTATTAGCAGCAGTCACACGCAGACACCATAAAATTAAAGCAAAACCAAAACCTAAATTTGAAGCATTAAGAAAAAAATATGACCAAGGTTGATATATAATCCAATGGCAACTTCCTACCAGCTACCCAACTTCCTGGGGCAATAAGCCCACAGATGATCAAGTCACACAGGAAAATAGCTTGAGGAGTGGTGAGCATCTTTGCAGCCACCGCTCAGCACAGTTAATACCGCCGCATTGTGTATCCATAACAAAACCATTTCCTCCCCTCTTCGCAGCCCTAGGAATGTGAATTACACATGCAGCTGCAAAAAAACGCAGTTTTAATATAGCCTGGAAAGCAGTGGAATTGGTATGGCAGGTCTTGGTAGAACTGGAGGGAAATACCCTCACCCATACCCAAAACCTTATTAATCTTTTGCAGATGAAAAAGTAGTTGATTTTTCTTTAAAAGTCCTTCCACCTGTCTGAGAGGATAAAAAACTTCTCTTTTAATGTTCTCCATTATAGCAAGCAAACACTGGGGGAAAACTGCTGTAATATTAATCAAAGACATCCATAGGATTATCTAGAAATAACTTCTACAGTTTTTTGGAAACACATCACTCTGGATGTATTTAAAAGGTCAATGATTAGTGACAGGTAGACGTTAATTACAAATGCATTTGAGGAGTACTGTAAAACTGGTTGCATATCTCTTTTTCTTCTCTGTCCTGTGTGAGAGTCCCTTCCCCTGAGGTATCCCTAGCTGTTATTTGTACCTGTACAAATCAATAAAATTCTGTAGTCACAGAAGTACTGTTTGCACACTGATAGCTTGGACTTGGCTACAGCAGCTGACTGCAAGCTGCTTTCCATGCCTCCCAGCAGCATATTAGAACCAGGAGGTTTGGGAGATCCAAGCATACTGACAGTTAACAGTGACCCCCCCTTTCCTGCTCCCAAACACATACTTCAAATGCTTTACTCTAACCGTTTCGCTGTCCCAGTGCGTTCTGCCCAATATATTTATGTGCAAGGCTGCAACAGATTATTGTTTCTTTTTGGGAGGCTTTGCAGACACGTATATGCATCCTAAGAAAATGGTCGGCACCTATTATGTGTGCAAAGGACAGTAAAATCAATTCATCCTTTGTACTCTCAGCTGAGGGCCAGGTTTCTTACACTGTGATACAAAGGATTGAATTACATTTCTTCTCAGGGCAGATGAGTTATAGAGTCCTCTACGGAGAGAATCGCCACATAAATTTTTGGTGAGGGGTAATCTCAAAAGGTAACAAATTTTGCAGTAATCCAATCCTGGTGTGATTCTGCCATCACAAGAAGGTGTAATGAGACTACCTTGGACTCTCACACAGCTTCTCAGGTTTTGCGCGGTAAACCTTTTTGATAGATTGTCTTTGTAGTCTGTATGTGAGTATATTACTCCTGCAGACCATTCCTCTCTACAGTTTCTCTTGTTCTGTTTCTGTCCAGTGAAGAGGGAATGATTTACCTTTGGTTAAATGTTAATCTGGAAAAGATCTGTTTAACACTTCTAGCCAGGAGGTTTTGAAGCATTCTTAGTTGAGATGAGATGATTTAATTAGGATGCTGAGCATTTAGAAAAATACTCTCTCTGGGACACTTAAGTTTTTTGAGAATTTTTTTTCCCATGGTATGGAAAAGCTTTATAATCAGGTGAAATGACTCATTGTAAGAGACCCCACTCTGAGAAACAGCTCAGGTTTTCTGCCCAAACTGCCTAAAAAAGGCCTGGGATCTAAAGGAAAATGAAATAAAATAAGCAGTGGAGAATGAAGGAAAGGGTGGCAAGACAGCAGTCTTTCAGGAACAAGACCTGAAGCTTTGTCTTCTCTAGTTCCCATGCAACTTTCCTTTGCCTTTTCCTTATTTGCCATGTTGTGTCTTCCTTACGAAGCTGAGCAGCTGCTGCTTAACCCAAAGTCATCCCATTGCCTCTGGGAGCTCATCCTGCTGATCACAGAATCATAGAATCTTTGGGTTGAAAGGGACTTTTTAAGATCATCTACTCGACCCGCCCTGCAATGAGCATGGACATCTGCAACTAGATCAGGTTGCTCAGAGCCCCATCCAACCTGACCTGGAATGTTTCCAGGGATGGGACATCTGCCACCTCTCTGGGCAACCTCTTCCAGTGTTTCACCACCCTCATTGTGAAAAATCTCTCCTTTTATCTAGCTGAAATCTGCCCTCTTTTAGTTTAAAACTGTTACACCTTGTCCTCTTGCTACAGGCCCTGCTAAAAAGTCTGTCCCCAGTCTGATACCATGGGCTAGAAGCACTCTCGTTTGTTATTGAGGTCCTTGCTGGACTGCCGTGGCTGTTTCAGCAACACTTCTCCAGGAGCAGAAGAGCTCCTGCCACACTCCCCTGCCCTGGGATTGTGGCTGTGCGGGTGGGACCGATGGCCAGGAGCGCTGAAGCTTCACATGCCTAGTTGCCCTGCTCTCGGAGGCGGTGAGGATTATTGTTTCAGCTGTCATTAAATGAGAAGAGTTTCTGTCCCTCCTCACTGGCGTGAGAGCCTCCCCCAGCTTTTCAGCCTGTTGAGAGAGTTTAATCTGAAGCCAAGACTTTACCTGCTTCTAAAGATACACTTCCTACTGCTAAGGTGAATTAAAGGCTGTAACAGCAGGAGAACATTAGCAGCACATTAACTGCAGGGTAGAGATTTGCCATCACTAACTCATTCACAGTTCGGAATAATCAGTATTGCCTCTCTGTATTTGGGATACTATGAATTAATTAAATCTTAAGAATAATTTTCAGTGTTTAATTTTTGCTGTCTGACTGCGAGCCCACGAGCAGCTCTGTGATCTCAGTTACATCATTCCGGCCCTCACTGAGACCAGCTATTGACTTGAAAGGCCAAGACTCTTTGGTAAAGCAGCATGACTTTCCTGTTCAAGAGAAGTATTTCTCCAGTGCAATGTTTTATGTTTTTATTTCTTGTGGCAGTCAGTAGAAATGAACTTGTGTAATTTAAGTGACTAATTACAAGAAGTTCTTATTATCCAGATAAGTTGTCAGCCGTAATGTGCAGTGATAGTAATCCTAATTTTTGAATAAGGATCAGCTGGATCAGATTCTTCAAAATATTGTACTCTTCTGTAAAGCAAGGGATTGTTACCTTTCTTACAGACAGGAATAGTAGTGTTCACCCTGAATACCTCTGCGAGGGGTATTCATACAGAACGATCTGGGGCTGATTCGTACTGAACAGAAGTGTCAACAGATCATCTGTAGTTTCATATTCCTTACAAAAAGCAAATTCAGCATCATTACTATTTATAATTACTCCCAGCTAAGGATTATGCATTCAGAAATATTTTGCATATCTTCACTACAGGCCTTCTGTGTATTACAGAAAGTAGTATGAGATGAGTAGTGGATGAAGTCCATCCCTTCCAGGGGCAAGGAACCAGACGTGCACCCAGAAGGACCCCGATGCTCAGGAGAGTGCCAGGCTGTGGAAAGAAAAAAAAAAAAAAAAGAGCATGAGGGCATACTCCAAAGAATATCTTCAGTGCTTTAGATCCTTGCCAGGATCACCAAGGGGTTTAGTGTTTTCTTACCGAGGGGCGTAGCACATGGCTGCAGGCTGAGGAAGGCCCAGAGCTGAGGCTGCCCCTTTCTAACACAGCTATCCTTACAGCAGTAGGTGAAAGGTTGGCAATGTTGCCCTTACCACTGTGTTTTTACCTGAGCTCCTGCCACGAGATGATTACAGAGACAGGCGGCTTCTCAGAAATAGTGGCCCAACCAAACATACGCAGTGGCATGATGGGAAACACCCAGGAAATTTGGGCTGGAAGTCTTGGGTGCCCGTGATATCTCAGAAGATCATCTTCCTGGATCACCCCTTCAAATAAATGTAGGTTGTAAATCTCACTTGAAAGGGTGACGTCCGCACCGATGTGCTTCCTTGGGAGCAGCTGCTAGTCATTGCTTAACACCACGGTGATGCCATTAAGCTACACAGAGACACAGTGATACTCTATTGTATTTTGTTTCAGTGTGGTGCTCACCTGGGGCATATTTTTGACGATGGACCTCGCCCAACTGGCAAACGGTACTGCACAAACTCTGCTTCGTTATCTTTCAAGCCAGCAGACAAGAGCAACGCTGGAGAAGGCAGCGGTAACACCAGTCCTGCCCAAACAGGCAAAACTGAGCTGTAGGACGAAGCAGAGCCTGCAGAAAACTGCGCTGATCCCACACAGCTTACAAGGAATGTTTTCTAAGTTGCCTGCTCTCTTATATCCTAAGAATGTTTAAATGTATGAAAGCATTTTGCACCATCCTTCTTCGTCCTCACCATTTTGGAACTGAGGCCTTGCCTGCCAGTGCATTTACTATATAATTGGATTGAAAAATGTGTTGACTGACTCCACAGGTTTTCTTTCCCTTTCTTTTCTTTGAGATTGCTTTAAGGAATTCTTAAATCTAGAGGCTTTGGCATCATTAGTTATTAGTGCTGTGTTACTCTAGGTTTGAACACTATTCCTTTTTGTGTGGGAGATGGGGCTTGTGTTTATCTCCAGTCTATAGGAAACTTCTGGGCATAAGAAAATCCTGAATTCCTAGCACATCACTGCTTTGTTCTGACTTGTGAGGCATGCAGCCTTTGGTCACATGTATTCAGCCATCTCCCAGCATCAGCCGCACCCTGCAAAAACTTGTAGTTATGGCTGTTCCTTCCCAACTGAGAGAGATGGATGAGATGTAAAGCCTATCCTTTGGCTAATTTACTGCCAAAATTTCAAGGGTGTGGTTGAGAGGATGTAAACATTGTCTTGGCATCCTTTTTTTTCTCCTGTGTTTAGTATTTAAATCAAGGTTTTAACTAGTAAGGCTCACTTTTGTGGGCTACTAATGAGCCTTTGTCTTTTTATGAGGCCTGTTCAGCAACTGTAACTCAAATCTGAATTAAAGTTGAAATCTGCAGGGGGTAATTATATGGACAAGTGCAGAGATAAACTTGGGAAGTGAAGTAGATGAGGGATGACACAAGGCTCTTAATCTTGTCAGTTGCTACAAGGATTCAGAAACACGACAGTTTCTCCTAAAAGGGAGTTTAGGAATGAATGCAGCAGAAAGAGAGAGACCCTTCTGAAATATTCAGTTTTAAAGATTAGCTGGTCTGGATGCATACAGCCTACAAGGCCACAGTCTTTAATTTGTGCAATTGCAGTGTAGGATATGAATGAGGGGGTTGGTTTAGGAAATTAAGTTGAAAAAAAAGCCTGTCAGAGCTCCAGAAACTTTCATGTAGCAAATTTTGCTGTCCCGTAGGATGTTTTACACAGCTGCTTTTAGAATAACAGTTTGTCTAGAATTGTGCATAATGCTGGTTTTTTAAGGTATACTATACAGTATTTGCTAACACCACTTTGCCTTTAAGCATTGAGAGACTTAATGAATATAGTATTTACTTTTATTAGCAAACTTTGTGACTAGCATATTTGGATCCAATTTTATTTCTAGTAGGAGCAAAGCAACCACTGATTTTTATGGAAGCAGGATTGAGGTTTTTATGTCAGTGATAATAAACATATTATCTAAAGTACAAACATCCTTCAGTTAAAATATAGCTACTGTAAAAGCATATGGAATTGCCTTTTTTTAGCAACATAAGAAACACATGAAAAAAGCATACAATACTTTAACATCAAATAGATGCAAATAAGGATGATAAATATTTAGAGCTAAAACACTCGGACCATGCTGTAGTGAGCACCTACTCACATGAGTATTCCCCCAGATGTCATGAAAGGAATTGCTCATCGGCTGCAGGAAGGGTTGTGCAGACTGACCTTTGGTGTTTCAAGGCGGTCGAGTGTCTCCTGGTCCTATTGGTTTTTAGCAATTTCTTCTAGAAGTACTGCTTTTATCCCTTGCTTTTATTTGAAGAAAAGTGGGTTTTCTCTACCACATTTTCTGACATAAACATAAAAAAGGCAGCATCTATAAAAATGTGGTACGTAAGTGTGGTTTAATTCCAGATTGCTGTTAGATTTAAGTGTTATCAAATTTCAGTATATTCGTGCCTTATGTTAAGAAATACATTACTTAAACTTCATTACGCAGTAATGTATGCTGTCCTACAGGAGATTTATTTTTGCAGGATATGGAGTGCAATGAAATGAGTCAATATGGTGAGGTGCATGTGATCTCTGGGAGTTAGACCATTTAACATAGGAAATGCATTGTTCTCTCTTGTGCACAAACTATACCACAGCGCAGTGCAAGGTAAGACAGATTTCCTTTTATTGCTCTTAGAAGATGCTAGTAAGGGCTAGTATTGAACCCTCCAAATTTGGTTCAGTCTGGTTATGAACATGAAAGCGGAAACTTGGGAGCTGAGCACAAAGTATAGAAGAATAGGAGAATATTTCTGTATGTTTAAATTTTGCACTGTCTAGATGCTTATAAAAACTGAATGCAAACTGTGTAGAAATAGCAAACTATATTTTATAATATCTCTATTGTTACTCAGATGTTTAAATAGCATACCTTAAAATATCATGTAAATCACACATGTTATTTATATATACTATATATATATAAAATTGCACATGTTTTTTATATATATATACGTACACACATGTATATTATCCAAGTATAATTTTAGCCTTCGGTACCTTTTTAATAACTAAAACCTTTCCTTAAGAGGGTTCAATACTTTTAAGAAATGGAATATACATTTTTCAAATTAAATTTGTTTTCCTATATTTGTTGTACACAAATATAAAATAAATCTGTTTATAAATAGTTCAGTTCTCCTTTCTTATTTACCTGTTTTTATGTCAGGCTTTTGCACTCCTAGTTGCAGCGTGTCTTAGGTAACTGCTTTTATTTTGTTTTCCCTTAACGTACTGTGAATATTATATCCAGCGCTTTATCTCCAGCAGGTTTCTGGCAGGGGTGCCACTTACCTGCTTTCAAGAGAATATTGCAAGCACCCAGGCCCAATAGAGAGAGGAAATGTTGAGAGAAAGGCTCAACTTTTACTTAGAAGAAATTTTGGCCACCTCTGAAAGATGTGGTGTGGGATGTGGTGGGCGCAGGCATGCTGTAAGAGGCCCGCGGTGCCTGGTCTCAGTCTGCAGTGGCGGAATTTGGCTGGAAAGTTGATTTCTAACAAGGTTTCATCTCCAAGGATGCAGGTTTGGAATGCCCAATAGACAGCAGGTTAATGCAACTCTGTAGATTAGCTCTGCAGAGGGTTTTAAAAGATAGATGCAAGGGAGGGGAAGAAGTTGCAGGCTGTTTTCAAACCAGCTTCCATGTTTATGTTTGTGGGAACCAGAGAGATACATCAAAAGTAATTCACTTAATAATTGTTCACCAACATTGCAAAGTGTCCTAGGACAAATGACGCACTGAAGACTTGTTTTACAAGTTTAGTATAATCCCTGTTAGTCCAAAAATTAATCCCTTGTAGCCCTCTGCCTCCCACCCGTCCACTGTAGTTCCCTCTCTGAATTGTAATGGTTTGATATTTCTGAAATGAGGGTCTAACTGGTACCCACTAAAATGAGATGCAGCTGGACACCTCACAGTGGCTTTGTCCTGCACTCCCAGCATAACCTGCACAGTCCGTCAGCACCCAGAGGTGCTGTACTGAGGCAGATCTTCAGAAGCATGTGGTCCTCTTGCTGCTGCTGGCCTGGCAGCAGACACAAGGGCTGGCTCCGAGCTCCATTCTGGCTCGAAGTCAGACTGTGTTTTGTAGTGCATGGCATGAAGTTGTGCCTAAGATTGTACACCCCACGACTTCAAAACCAGGGAAATTGCTGGTAAAAGAGTCTCTCCTGCTGCTCCTGCTGTTCCCTTGGGTGCCCTGGCCACATGGCAGGAGAAGCAGTGATTGTAGGATGAGCGAGGTGAGGCCAGCTAACTTAACTACTTTGTGATTCTCCTATTGTTGTAGATATAGAACTTCCATATATTAAATGCACCTTAACCGTAAAGCCTTTTTCACAAGCTGTATCAGCTCTCATACACTAAAAAAAAATACAGCATGTGTATGTAAGCTGACTAAAAGGAGGATTTTACCACAGTGGCTTTAGCATGTATTCCCCCCATGGATGGTGGCAGGCGGACATCTGGATTTAGCAGCAGAGACATCACTCCAAGAAGGGAGACGGAGCCTGTTGTCAAGTAATGCATTGGCCTCTTATTTGTACTTGCAGGGAAGTGGTGTCTGAAGTCTCTGTCATCTCTCAGGATAAAAGGCAAGATAAAAGTGAAGCACACAACCTGCCTCCAGTGGCCCAACACAAGCCAGTGATAATGATGACCCATGGGGTCAGATCTGCCCAGTGTATTAGCATGAGGCATGAGATGTTATTGCCCTCTCAACGGCTGATGAAAGTGCAGCTTTCTGTGGCACTAGCTAAGCTCCATTGTATTTCTTCTTCTTCCTCACCCCGAAAATGGCTCAGTTAAATAAGACAACATAGTAAGTCAGCATTTCTGTTGGGATGACACTGAAGAATGCATTGTCACCAACATGATGCCAAGACTGAATGAGGATGTTGGTATTCTCTTGATTGTACTGAAAGGTCTCGGTCTTAATTCACTTAGTCTTGTTTTGCAGTCCATTTACCCAACTGAATTTAGTAAGCCATAACGTTAGGCTTTCTCTAAAGGAATGTATGATACATATTAATTTTCCTTATTGTTCAGTATGTTACAAAATGTCTGTGGTTAATGTCACTGCACAGCCAGCAGTCCTCTGCTCCTTCACCTGTGGTCTGGGAGGGGATGTGAAATACATGATAGAGGCTACTTTTCTGGTCCTAACTCAGAGTTTCAAAGTCATGCCCTCTTTCTTCCCATCCTTGAAGGAATTTAAGGATGAAAACAAAACAGATGGTCACACTTTCAGAATTGAAATCAGTGTGCTCTATACCCACTTGTTTATAGAACAGATGGCAGAGTATTCAGTGGCCCTAGAAGCAAATTCATCAGCTTCCAAATTCAGTAGACTAAGACAAAACGTTGCTTAGCTTGTTGCCAAACTGAACTAATAGTTCTTGGTTTATTGACTATTAAAATGAGGCCACCTACAGGTCCCACAATAAACCTGCAAAAATGTTTAATCCTGCATATTTGAAGAGCTGCATTCCAGTCTGGCTTGCTCACGCCTTGTTATAAAGAGAAGTCATACACC